ATACAGGTACAGGAACACGTACAGGTGCAGGAACACGTCAGTAGATACAGGTACAGGATCACACAGTACAGAACACTTACAGGTACAGGAACACGTACAGGTACAGGAACACGTACAGTGCAGGATGTACAGCAGGAACACGTACAGGTACAGGAACACGTACAGGTACAGGATCACATACAGGTACAGGATCACATACAGGTACAGGAACACGTACAGGTACAGGATCACATAAGGTACAGGAACACGTACAGGTACAGGAACACATACAGGTACAGAACACTTACAGGTACAGGATCACATACAGGTACAGGAACACTTACAGGTACAGGAACACGTACAGGTACAGGATCATACAGGTACAGGATCATGCAGGTACAGGATCACATACAGGTACAGGAACACGTACAGGTACAGGAACACGTACAGGTACAGACATACAGGTACAGGACACTTACAGGTACAGGATCACATACAGGTACAGGATCACATACAGGTACAGGAACACGTACAGGTACAGGATCACACATACAGGTACAGGAACACATACAGGTACAGGAACACATACAGGTACAGGATCACATACAGGTACAGGAACACTTACAGGTACAGGAACACGTACAGGTACAGGATCACATACAGGTACAGGATCACATACAGGTACAGGAACACGTGCAGGTACAGGATCACATACAGGTACAGGAACACGTACAGGTACAGGAACACATACAGGTACAGGAACACTTACAGGTACAGGATCACATACAGGTACAGGAACACGTACAGGTACAGGAACACGTACAGGTACAGGAACACTTACAGGTACAGGATCACATACAGGTACAGGATCACATACAGGTACAGAACACGTACAGGTACAGGATCACATACAGGTACAGAACACGCGGTACAGGAACACTTACAGGTACAGGATCACATACAGGTACAGGATCACATACAGGTACAGGAACACAGTACAGGTACAGGAACACGTACAGGTACAGGAACACATACAGGTACAGGAACACTTACAGGTACAGGATCACATACAGGTACAGGAACACATACAGGTACAGGAACACGTACAGGTACAGGATCACATACAGGTACAGGATCACATACAGGTACAGGAACACGTACAGGTACAGGATCATATCAGGTACAGGAACACGTACAGGTACAGGAACACGTACAGGTGGGATCACATACAGGTACAGGAACACGTACAGGTACAGGAACACATACAGGTACAGGAACACTTACAGGTACAGGATCACATACAGGTACAGGGAACACTTACAGGTACAGGAACACGTACAGGTACAGGATCACATACAGGTACAGGATCACATACAGGTACAGGATCACATACAGGTACAGGATCACATACAGGTACAGGAACACGTACAGGTACAGGATCACATACAGGTACAGGGATCACATACAGGTACAGGAACACGTACAGGTACAGGAACACGTACAGGTACAGGGATCACATACAGGTACAGGAACACGTACAGGTACAGGATCACATACAGGTACAGGAACACGTACAGGTACAGGATCACATACAGGTACAGGAACACGTACAGGTACAGGAACACGTACAGGTACAGGAACACGTCAGGTACAGGAACACGTACAGGTACAGGAACACGTACAGGTACAGGTGTAGGAACACATACAGGTACAGGAACACGCACAGGTGCAGGAACACATACAGGTACAGACACAGGAAAACCCTAGAGATGCACAGATACAGAAACAGAAACAATTACATGTAGAGATATTTCAAAATAGTCAACAGTGTGCACAAATGCTACTCTAGATTCACTGTACAGTCGAAGTCTGAATTACCTGGACACTTGTGGGTTATATAATATAATTGGTCCATAGTTGGTGAGCCCCATACTGTACTTTTCGTTACATATTTGCAGTATGTGTAACAGTATCATGAAAACAAAGACTATAAAACAAAGAAAAATCGTAGAAAATTGTTGTTAAAATTCTTATCCCAATCACTGCTTAAACCAACCTCATGTAGATGATGCCATAAGTGTCCAGGTATTGTCCACAACTGTACTTGACCAGATACAATTATAGTCACAGAGAGGATCATTAAACATTAAACGATTTGTTAGTCTGTAAAATATAGGAACATTAAACGTGTTGTTAGTTTGTATTAACTAACAACATTTTAACGTTTTGTTAGTTTGCCTTAACTGACATTACTAAACGCTCTTCTACGCATAGTTAAACACCAATCCCTTATCCTAGACCCGAACAATAACCACTGCATCTAAATCTAATACACGGATAAATGAACTTGACTGAACATCCTACTGTAAAGTGAACACCTGTAGCCCATGTGTTCCCCGCTTGTCATTAATACTCTACCTGCCCGGAAATACCTGTACAGCTTATCCCTTATATCAACAATAACAAAAACAAACATTTCCGGGGGGGGTTTAGTGGTGAAGGATGGGGATAGGGTGGGGTGGGAAGGGATAGAAGAGAGTTGAGAAGGGATGGGAGGGGTGAGGAAGGATAGGAGAGAGTTAGAAGAGGGTGGGGTGGGTGGGAGCGTTGGAAGGTGTGGTCTCGGCACGGGATAGAAGGAGGAGGGAGTTGGAGAGGGCATGGAAGAGAAAATTGTGAGAGGGGTGAAGAGGATAAGTGAAGACACAAGATAGGGAAGAAGATGGAATAGAGAGAAGAGAAGAAGGTGGACGTAG